ACACAATTTAATTTGTCTGCCTCATTTTCTTAATTCGTGTCTGAAGGAAAATTCATGTCAAACATATCTGACAGCATTTCTTTGACGCTTCAGCTTTAATTTGTTAGGGGGGGGAATAAAGGGTGCGTCCGATAATGGAACCAGGATGTAACTACCGTTAGCATGCGCGGACACGCAGCGAGCGGAGAACAGATGCCCGGTTTAACAACAATAACGGCTCCGTTAACGGTGGAACAACCCGCGTTTATTCCGGGAATTGTTTCCAAAAACACCCCAGTGCCGTTAGTTACAGGAAGCAGGCTGCCTCTGGTGGATAGCTGGAGGATAAATGGTGCAATCCTGCCACCTCATCGGCTCACAGCCTGCTTCCTGCCGCTTGTTTGTCCGAACAGGTGGGCCGCATCACCACAACACAGCAAAAAAAACGGGCTAGCCTGCTAGCATAAAAAAACGCAAGTGTGCGCAAAAAACACCGCAACTGTCTCGTTTTTAAAAGAAAACACGCTCCGTGACTCCAGGAGTCTACCTCCCATCCATTTAGAGCAAACAACAGCCAGGCTCAGTGATGAAGCACCTTTCGCTCCCCTCTGGGGTAGCATCGCTAGGCGGCTAAGAGGCTAAGCACTTAGCGAACAACACCCCGGAGAAATCCACACAAATTTAGCACAATTTAACACAACATAACTGAGATCAGGCGTTAAACGTGTCCAAGGGAGAAAAGGCAGCACTGTACCCCGCCTATTTTTATCTGCAGGTCGTTTTCTGGATGCGATGCTAACCCCATTCAGGTGCACAGAAAACCGGTAAAAATGAAAAAAATATTCAGGTGCATTTCACCGAGTTTTAGGTAAAAGGCTTTAAAACTAGACCTTAAAGGTGTCCCTCCACTCTCGAATAACCCTGTCCTGCCGTTTATCCATCAGTGATACTCACACGACGCGGGAGCCGCTGGTTGCGCTGTCACCGCAGATCGCTCTGCTGCCTCTGCGGGGGATGGCGCTGCTTCTCGGGGTTCGGCCACTGGGAGGGCGTCGCTCTCGGGGGCAGGTTCTGGCTCCGGTGCGATCTTTGTACTCGCCGGCTCGGCTTTGGGAGCGGCCACTTCAGGCTCCTCGTGGGCAGAAGCTGGGCTGGTGGAGTCTGGGACTGCCGGTTTGAGGGCTGGCTCCGGTAACGTTACCGTCTCCGTCTCCTTTAGATCAGGGAGGGAAGTTTGCGTGAAGTCGTCAGGAACACTATCTTCAGCTCGGTGCCGCTCCAAAGCGTCCTTAGCCCCGCCAACGAGGTCCACAATGTCGTCATCCACGAAGTAGTGGTCCGACCTGGACTCGTGGTCCGGTTCGGCCTGGTAATGGTGCACCTCGTCGTTGAACATAGGAGTGGTGGAAGAAACTTGATGCCCCTCGCTGTCTGCCATTTTTCTTGATTTTCCCTCCTCCAAACGGTCTCCTGAGGTTGGAAAAAAGTTT